CACAAAAAGTTTTTGAACATATTTTTTTATCGAAGAGTATGCGAGCACAAAAAATGGCCTAAAATCAACGGTAAGTTCAAGCTACTTCAAACTTGCACTATAATTTTACGAGCTAAAAGTGCATACTCGAAAAAACAAATTCTAGAAAATCTGATTAAAATGTTTAAAATTGTTAGGAATTTGAATTTAATTGTTTTTTCTTTAGATAGTTAGTTATATTGTCATACAAAAATAATAAACATTTTTTAAACAAAAAAAAGTAACCAAAACTTGCTAAAATGTCTTTCCTATTTACATTCTCGCCACTGTATATACAGTGTGTATACATTAAAAGATGTTAGGTTTTTTATTCTAAAAACAAAATTGTAGGTTCGGATTTGATGCTTTAGAAATGCCCCGATTTTTGGCCACAGAACTCTGGTCACCGTAACTATATTTGGCTTCTAGTTTTGTGAGTATATTTTTTCTTTGTGTGTAAAATTTCATTTTGCTTGTAATCAATGTTATCATGAACTCATTTTTTTTTAAGGTTATTTGTGCCATTTTCAAAATAAACGGCTCGTATTTTGCTTTTGATTTATTAGGTATTCATAAAAATTAATGGCAAGATTGAAAATTACCATTGAACCTATTAATTTGCGAAAAAAAAACAGAAAAGTCCGAACGATTTCGATAAAGATACCTTCGAAAAAGCGGTAAAAACCAGGTTCAATAATGAGTCCGACCACCATCAAAAAAAGTTGTTTTCTAAAAGCGGTTGTCTCTCGGCCATGAAAAAAGTTCTTATAAAATACCATCTGCCATCTGGCATTCGAAAGCGGCGTAAACTGTGAGTACGTCCATTTGTGCAGATTCTAGTATAATCTCGGTCAAGCTCTTAATAAAATGTATTAAGTAACACTTGCGTTTTTCCTTTTACAATCTTTTCTGTTTTATTTTAATTAGGGGATTCACAAGATGTGTTAACCGTCGTGAAATCTTAAGCTTTTCATTTTGTATGTAAAATATTGTTTAAAATGTTATTAGGGGGTACTAGTTATATATTTTTTACCGGTTTATAAACATTTCTGTGTAGTTAAAAACCCTTTAAAGCCATTTAAACCTTTATTTAACAAAAAAAAAGTTTAAGCTTAAGATTTTACGACGCTTACCACGTCTAGTTACTAAACTAAATAACTAAAACAAAATGACCGATCCAATATGGCGCCTAAGGTTAAACGAAATGTGTTGAATTTGACAAATATTTGTTAAATCCAAGTAAAGTTGAGTTATATTTGTTTTTTTTTCGTTTGTATTTAAAATTAAACAAAACGTTAGACACGGTCGGATTCAATATTTAGTATTATAGTTTGAAATACAATTATCTTGAAATAAACAAAAATTTTTTATTGATGAAACCGGGAGAAAATGACTTAAGACATTTCCTTTAAACTGGTTTTATTTCACAAATCACTAGAATACTTCACATTAAATACTAATCAGCTGAACATATTAAAAAAATTTTAAAGTAAACCTTATATAGAACTGACCTGTAGAAGAAAAACCCATTTTACAAAAGTAAAATTGATCGCCCTATGGCTTTTGGCGTTCTTTTAAACCAGCGATGGGCAGAGCGAGCTTTACTCTGCATGCGCCTATAAAAAAATGTATAGAAAGCTTAAAAGAGCTTTGCCCGCGGGCAAGGTAGTGCCCAGCAGTGTTTTAAACTTTAGCATTACATTTTTACTTTTGACAGCACTGCGTCAACTAACACTTTCACACAGGTGCAAAAGGTCGGAACCTGTCTTGGACATATTTCGATAGCTGAGACATAATTTTAGACAAACCCAAGGAAATACAACCCCAAAATCGATACTTTAGTTTTGTATTTTTGGGCACGAATTGGGGACTAAATATCACTGTGCGACGCCAAAAGTAATAGTATCTTAACATCACCTGTATATTATTTGAAGCAGATTAAAATTCGCATGAATGTATGTCAAAAGTCCTATAAAACATTCCAATCACTTGCTATAAGGCGACTCTTTTTTAAAGAAATGCACAATACATACTTACTGTTAACTAATATAACAATTTTGTTTGTATTATAATATTTCGACCACTTTAACAGACAATATTAAAAGCATTTCCCGTAATTAAAGGATATCGTTTTCCTGTGCACATACATATGTACATACTCCATCATAAATAAGTAGGACCGTGTTAGCCATAATTTCTACGATTTCTCTATCCAAATAAAGTTTATGAAAAGCAGCTTTCAACTGTAGTATTTAGTAGCAGAGACCGCTTGCATGCTTCTTTCATAAGCTTATTGCAGAACCTACGAAAGCTCCGCAATATAGTTTAATATGTATGCACATTGGGGTGGTCCAAAACTGTATGTGTAAAAGTAAAGTGGGAATTTTTATGCTCTCACGCCCTAGGATTGTTCTATACCGAAAAAATATACCCCCATTTTTTTATTTTGAATTCAAAAAATATTTAGAGTTCGCTCAAAGCGCTCAAAACTATCCATGTACATATTTTATATGGGGAAAAAATACTTTTCGAAGAAATGGTATAGAATTATTGAAAATTTATATTTTTCGATCGCAAAACTCCGGTTCTCTTAAGGAGAATTCCAATAACTATACCCTATAGTTTGTTCAACCATTTTTTAATATTAAATACTATTAAATATATTTAGATTTAATATTATTTAAAAAAAAATTTGTCTTTACTAACTTAAATTTTTCTAAAACTGAAAGTCATGTAGGTATTTATTAGACGTCTTAGCAATAAGATTAAAGCAAACCCGTCAGGTGTGTAGTGATGATTCTTGCTCTCAAATTTTTTGCTAGCCCTGCTGGGTCGGAAATTTTAATTCACCTCATAGATGTCAAAAATTTACAATCCGGAGTACTTTTCTATAAATTTTTTGACATTTCGCGCAAAATCGGAGAATTTCATCGTGGAAATCGGAGAGAATATAAAAATGAGTTGGTTACCCTGGTATGCCCACAATTGCTATTGCATCTGTATTATCGTCAGTGATAAGCAGCACTCACATGCAATAAAAACCATTTTGCCGAAAAAAATATTAGCGACTTGTTGGGCGAACGCAAACAGTTGTTTTAAGAGAGTGACTAATTTTGTTCTCTTCAGTTTTTTCTGTATGTATGGACGTTGTATGTATGCAGCGTTGCCGAATTGACGATTTCGTCGTCATTTTGATGTTTTTATTTAAGCTCAATGACGTTTTGATGATTTTTTCTCCCGTAGTGACGATTTTTTTATTATTATTATCTTATTTTTTCCACTTATGGCGTTTTTTTTTCTACCAAAAAAGGTCTCCTTCTCTTTGCCCTCTACGTACAAATACTAAGAAGAGGGCAATGAGAAGGCAGCATTTTTTGTCGAAACGAAAACGCCATTAATTACATTTGTACATATGTATGTATAAAATTTGTTGAAGGAAAATGTAATCCAAAATACAACCTTGCATTTATTTACTTTTATATTAAATTTGTTCTGAAATTGTAACCAAATCGTTAATTTGCACTGACCCTCATTTGAAAGAGACAGAAAAATATCAGGGAGAATTTGTTCAGTCAAGATAGTCTATCAGTTAGTAAATGTTAATGTTACACTTTAAAACTGGATGAAAATCTTCAAAACTTTCAAACCGGTGGATTTCAACTATTTAAAAGCAGTTGTGTTTAAATTGTCGTTAACTTTTATTAACCCATATGCAATGTGGGTTCCCTTTGGTTTTGTAATGTGTGGTCATATTTACTGTATGTAATTTTCTCTGTATTTTTATTAAAAAAAAGTGTAAAAAAGAAATTTTCTTTTTTTGCGGAAATCCTCATTTTCTTGTGTTAAATTGACGATTTTTCAGCGAAATCTTTCGGCAACTCTGTATGTATGTTAATTGATAACACCTCCCCTCTTTTATTCAGCATCAAATGGTCCGGTCTGAATAGTCGCTGGGAGAATGTGGAAAATCACTTATCGTTATCTATAATGCAAATATTTTGGCAGAAAAATTTGTAAACAAGAGCTATGACATCATTTTGTTTTTGCTATAAAAATTTTATTGGAAATAATAATAAGTATGTACTTACATATGCCTACGAGGGGCGGCTAATAAGTTCGATAATTCTTAATCTCGTTACTCATAATTCCAAAGAATGGCCAGTATATTGAAATATGAAAAATATAAACAAATAAGAAATTTTAAATCTTAGGCTACGAACTTATCAGACGCCTCTCGTAGTTATTCATCTATGCTATTAAGTCAAATAAATACATTAGGGGTACTCACACTCCGTAGCAATTTAGCACGGATTTTGTTGTTGGAACAACTTTACACCTAAAATGCTACTCAACGTGAGCTCCCCTTTTGTGTCTCTATTAGAGATCAGTAGCGTTTAAACAAGCGCCAAACAAGAAGAAGAAGAAGAAGAGAATTTAAACAAATAAATTAATTATTTGTAAATAAGTACATTTGTATAAGTCGAAGTATGTATGTATATACATACATATATTAAAATTTTCTATGAAGCGATATTTGCTATCGAAGTCCGAGGAAATTGTGAAAAATTAAACGCTTTGTAAAGAATTAAGTATTCCACCTGTTTTACTGTTGTCACAGATTTAAACACAGTCTTTGTAATTATTTTTGGTTCTCCTCGCAGCTCTAAAAATTTCTAGTGAAAATATCTGATGACATTTTTTTATGCTTCCGCCAATTCGCCCTCTATTTGGATTCTTACAACAACATCGTAGATACATTACACTTTAGCGCACAATAAGCACCCAAAATAGTTGTAGAAAGTCAGAGTCATGGCGTTGAAGGCATTCTCTATGGATTGAGTAGACTAGTACCTTCTGGCCTAGTTCTTAGCTATCGCGAAGCCAGTCTAATTCACTGCTGGGCTTATAAGTACACATGCCAGCTCACAATGCCTCTTCGATCTGAGAAGATACACAACGTTCAGATCACTTTGGACATTCTCGCAAGTTGGATGTGTTAAATTTCGCGCTTCGGCAGTGTATTTTATAGTAAAATTCGATTGCATTCAACTGCAAGTTACCTGAACTAATTTAGATTTGATAACGAATTGCGCTTGATAAGAAAAGTGTCATTAGCGATAAATTAATTTAAAAAAAAAATAAGCATTTGTCGAACAGACAACAATCTTATGCAGTATATTAAAACAGTTGGAAAAAGTGAAACATGACAACAAATAGTAATGTAGTGTTGAGTGTTCCGGTCGAAAAGGAATCACCACTTATATTTTTTGTCAATGGCAAGAAGGTGCGTAAATTTTTACGTAAGTATGTATGTATGTACGAAAGAAAATTTCCAATCTTGTTTAGTGGGGCAGGCAATTGTGTGTTAAAAGAATTCAAAGCCAAAGTATACGCAAAACCACTTACAGCAAATAATTTAATGTTTTTAAACTCGACAAAAGAGATCTCAGGAACCTGTTGCGATATGTTTCGTTTATTTTTGAGTGCCAGCTAAAGCTAATGCCCCCCAACGACTATTCAGAAGTGCATAATACTGATAAGAAATTATCTGTCTCTCTCTCTCTCTCTCGTACATGAATTAAGGCCAGTATGCAGCCAGTGTTGCCAGAACTTTTTGGGCCGACTATGGGCTATATTGGCAAAAAAAGCGGCTAAAACGACTAAAATGTTTCAACTAAAATTTACATGTTTTATTTAAAGAAATCGTAAGTAGAAAGACTAGTAAAATCATTTTTTTTTGTTTTTTTTTTTTAATTAATGAAGGTTATACGTAGCAAAGCTTTACACCACTCGTAAAAGAAATCACAAAAACAGAGACTGGTAAATTCATTACAAATTATTTTTGTTTAACAGAAGAAACTGTCATTAGAATTTTACTGTTTTTAGAATTTTGATTGGTAATCATGCTCTAAAAAAAATCTGTGTGAAATGTCAAAATTTTTGGTCAATATCCTAGGCCTTTAGCCCGCGGCGCTCAAAGAGTCGCAATGGCCGAGTGGTCAAAGCATTAGGCTGCCGGTCGAGAGATCCGGGTTCGAGGTCAGAGAATTTTTTATTTTCTTTTTTTTTTTTTGGTTAGTTTTATTTTCTTACATAATCTTATCATATATTTTAATGTTTTAAAAAGAAATTCTTTTCAATGAAGGTTTATGATAGTAAAGCATTTTGTTTTATTTCCTAATGAAATTATTCTTGAACAAAAATTTCTTCGCTGCATTCTCGTTGTTTTTTTTTTATAAAATAGAAAGAAATTATCTTTCCCTCCATATTTTTCTTTTTGTGACGAGCTCACAACTGTAGATATTTCACTGGCTGTAGATATTTCATCTAGTTATAATGTGCTGTAAAAAAAAAGTCCATCTGAAGTATATTGACTTATACTTGCAGCAATGCTACATATTTCAACATGCGCCTGGAGTACTTTATTGGCGTTTTCTTTTCTACAAAAAGTTTTACCTTTTCAGGGCACAGAGAAGGCAACATTTTTCTGTAGAAAAGGAAATGCTATAAGACCATAAAAATTTACAGGCAACCTTGAATTCATTTTCTATATCATTACCTTAATTCACAATGGCCCTCACCAACATATATTTTATTTTACGGAAGAAGCAAAAAACGTTATAAAATCAGTATTAAAAATAGGTAGGGCTTCTTAAAAAGTGGCATATATCTCCATTTTTTTTTTGGGGGTTAACACTTTAAAACTTTTATTGAAGGTGTATATTTTAATACATCCTACCAAAATCTGTGAAAAACGTAGTTTCGTAAAAAGTGTTGGTTAGGGCCTTTGTGAATTAAGGTGCCGATAAATTTCTTCAAACGGTTTTTGTTTAGGTGTAGAAATTGAAATATGCTGTTGTGCCTTTGAATAATTTTCAAATAGTTGGCAACCATGTTTTATAAATTTTTTCTATTAACTTTCTACAGAAAATGCCGAGGATGAAAAAAAATAACAAATTCATTGAGCCGTTAATACGTTTAAAGTACTCTTTTTCCTCAGTATTTATTTTTTTAATATGAGGCGTTTTGGTAATCCACGGATTTTGATATCTTCGATGTTAAGCTATACCAAAAACATTATTGTCTTAGTTTTTTGCACTTCAAATAGTAACGCAACAATTTTGACCACATTTTACCATTTCTGTACCAGTGTGCACTAGACTGGAATGGCGACTGCTTACATTATTCAAGTTATTCAGAAGCCGTTCAAGTGAACATATTACAGTTTAAATGAGTCGTAGATAAATAAAAGCATTTGCATTTTTCACAAGCTCAATCGTTAACGTAATGGATGGATGATGCTGATCAGAGGGAGAAAATCAATTAATTACATACGTAGACTGTTAAGTTTCACAACTACAACAATACGACAGTGATACAACAGCTGGTGAACTCCCTATATACTAAATCAGCCATGTGCAATTGTTTGATCTTATCGCAGTCATATCCGGGGAACTATCCTACTTAACACAGGAATGCCTATTTACTATGCGTTAGCTCCATAACTTTACTTTACTTAACATAAGACTATCCGTATCAGTCCAAATGGTTTTGAAAGGGCCATAATTTCAAAATTACTTGTATTAGGGTTGCCACCTATTTAAAAAGTCAATTTCAGCATGAATTAAGGGAATTAAGGATGTAAATACATTTTTATCACAATATGGGTGTAAAACAAAAGAGGAAAAATTATGAATTATTTCGAAATCCAAACAAATCCTTGAAGAAAAAACTTATATATGTATATATAATTTTATGCGTGTTGTAACGTAAATATTAGAAGATGTTTAAGTCTGATAAGATCCAGACCAACTGCGGAATACCACCCAAAGAACGTTTTGAACTTGCCACAGCTAAGAAAATTATTAAAGTTATTGACTATAATTAACCTGCGAAGAAGTATTTATTTTCCTCAGAATTAAATAAAAAATCAAGCTATTATATCGTTTTTAATAAATTCACATCAATATTTTATAAGATTGTTAGTATTTCGGAAGAACAAAATTTTACTTCCAAAATTTTCATTAATAAAAATTTCTTTAATGAGATCTTTAATTTTAAAAAGAAAGCAAATCAAAATATTATTAATAAATTATGTTTGCGGAAAATTCAATAATTAAAAAGTAATCAGTTTGAAATACTTTTTACGGACGGATCTATTAAAGAAAACCAAACCAAAGCAGCTTTTTTTCATGAAAATTCTTAAACCATAAAATCGTATTTTTGCAATAAAAAATTAGCTTCCGTGACTGCCGAACTGGTAGCTAATAAAATGGCTATAGAATTTGCCATTCATTATCAATTGGAGAAACTAGCAATCTTAATGGATAGTCTACATACAGAAGTGGTACTTTCATTTTAAATAGCAGAAATAACAACAATTATATTGCAGTTTCCAACTCGAATATTGATAAATTAGACATCCATTATATCCCAGCCCACAGTAATATTGAACTAAATGAAGTAGCAGATCAGGCAGCGTTAGGAGGCTGATCAATATGAAGAGAGAATTAGTATTTCATGGACGATATTCGATGCCATAATGGAAATAACTACAAAATGAAGAGAAGAGTGGCAGCAGGAGTTTTATGTTTTGAGTACTCACAAAGGCATAATATATGGTGTCATGTTTCCAGAATTTCCAAAAACTCCCTGGTTCAATAAAAAAACATTTAAAACCCAATTGAAATTAAGCTATTAAACCGAATTTTATCTAATCACACTTTTTGCAAAAATAATCTTGCAAGAATGAATATTGAATCTAATTCAAATTGTGATCAATGCCTTACCGCGGAATCATATACATATTATTCAATTGTACCAGATATTCTTCTTTAAGATCAGTTTATCATCGCTCGAAGAATTTCATTAATTGCATTGTTAAAAGAAATTAAATTTTTATTATAAATGTTTAATATTTATATAATTATGTTAATTGGCGCTATAACTTCTAGCTGGGCCAAATAATTCTCCTTCCTAAATTAAAAAAAAAAAATGTTGTAGGTTGTAAATAAGTATTTTGAAGATGTGTTCCACCTGATGAAATTAAAAACGTGTACTACCTACTTACCTACTGCAGCAGGGCTATATACTTCTACTGAATGTAAGGCACTGTTTTTAAGTTCATCTAAGCTTCGTTTTTGCAAGTAACAGCTAGTAATTCATAAATATAATATTCTTTGTTCGTCTCAGCGCTTTATAGCAACAATGTGTAGCTTATACATATTTATGAGCAGTCCTAAACTTTACATATTCAACATTTGCTTAATTTCTTATCAGGCTCATGAAACAAATAATAGTAAAGATACATATTATATGCATAGGTATATGTATACATATATATTTATATACATATAGGTATGTACGTTGCGAATAAATACTAGCGGAGATGGTGTTTACGTTTGGGTTTATTAGCCCAGGCTTTCCCAAAGTGGGTGCCGCTAATGGCTAGAGTATACTAGTGGTGCGTGCAAATTCTATAAACTTTTCAAACATAACGTAAACGGTTTGATTAAACTTCAAGAAAGCGGCCAGAAAATCAAAAAAAAATTGATTTTTATTAAAATTACCTTTAGCGGCTCGTCAAACCCCATACACAATACAAATGGCTTGCAGCAAAGGGATATTTCGCTTGGTTTGTCAAGCCGCTTGTGTGGTGTATTTCGCTCTTAAGTGTGCTGGGGAAAATACGTTTTGTCAACGAAAAATTGAATCAGAAAATTTTCAGAAAAATGGCCGAAAACCTACCCTTTGCACAACCATTTTCGGTACTTTTGTAGACCTAATTCGCGTTTCATCCACTTTTCTTCCTGTTTTCGGTTTAATTTTCGGATTTTTTTGCTGGCTGGGCTGTTCTCGTAACAAGCACAGCTGCTTCGCGCACTTGTAGTAAATGTTACTTATTCTTTGGAACTTCACAATCACACTGTGAATGAACGAATCAACACGAGTTTAGAGGTAGTCGAGAACGAACTTATAAAAAGTTTGAAAACTTGTGAATATTTTAATGAATGACACTGCGAAGATAACAGACGTCTGCGAAATTAAAATAAATCTTTGGTTTTTTCTAGCACGTCGAGATTTTTTTTATTGGTGACATGTATATTTTAGAATTTCTAGCAATTTGCATAAAAACCCCATAAATAAACAAAGTAACTCAGAAAAACGTATGAATGATAACAGCCGGTTTCACCAGCAGTTTAAATGGAAAATGATTTTTTACTTTTCGTCAATTTCCATAAAAAATTCAAAAGTTTAAAATAATTTTTCACTTAAATTGCTTTC